AGAGGATAAAAATAAAATTCAAAGTAAATAAGATTCTCTTCATTTTGCTGCTGGAGTTGTGTTGTAATCTGGTGGATTTTCGAGCAATGCTCTTATGAATGATAGGTTTATAATGGCTTTGTTGGCTATCTTTGGATGATTCGACTTACTGTTTACCGGTGTTTGTATGTCCAAGCTATCCATGTTTATATACATTGTATAACTACAATGTCTAAGTTCAATGCTTGTACAGATATATGTAAAATTTGTTTACCTCCAGCAGGTATACAATATTTATATGACAACTAGCGCAATCGCCGCCCTCCGGGCGGCTCTTTCGCTAGGTTCAAGATTTCTTGAGAGCATTATAGGAGTTCCAATCTTGAGAGTGAGGTGATGAGAAGGCATTCCAGCGGGCTCCAAAGAATTAAGGAATTCTGCATGGTACTGGACTGCTTGGTACTGGTCGATTACTGTATCAACAGATTTGAATGAGGTCTCACTGCCTGGAAGCTGTCTGAGTAGAGTCATGTTGATTTCAGCCACTGTTTCATTCCTTGGTGCCAGAATTGCGCGTTCACGCAGCCACTTGTGATCCTTGTATTGGTGGATAATGTTTGGGTAGACCATGTTAGTGAGCTCAGTTGAGGACTTTACAACATTTCCACATCCTATTCAACCTCTGTGCGGTTTAACGGGTCGGGTCGGGTCGTGTGTGTCGGATCGGGTTGGTTGGGTATTTTTTTTAGATCCCCACATGACACTTGCTATCCATGCCAAGTTTGGTCCGGGCGGCTCATTCGCTAGGCCACGGTAGGACGCCACCCTCTGGGAAGCTCCACATTGTCTCACTGTTCAGTCCCCAAAACTTCTTCCATCAATAGTTCTTTAACGGTGTATGTAAATTCCACTACAACGGTACAGCAAAGTATATTTTTTTAGCATTAAACTGTTATTATTTTATTGTCTAATCATCACTACATATAACACCACCCACCATCACTACATATAACATCATCCATCATCACTACATATAACGCCATCCATCATCACTACATACAATAACATCCATCATCACTACATATAACATCATCCATCATCACTACATATAACACCATCCATCATCGCTACATATAACACCATCCATCATCACTACATATAAGACCACCCATCATCACTATGTATAACAACATCCATCATCACTACATATAACGCCAACCATCATCACTACACATAACACCACCCATCATCACTATATAACAACATCCATCATCACTACATATAACACCATCCATCATCATCACTACATATAATGTCATGGTCACGTTGACTGCTGATCTAGTTAACTAATGATTCTTATTAAACTCCACGCCGGCAAAACATGAGTGAGTTAGCGACCCCTGAGAAGACGTGTTTTTTCCCCATAGAGGCTACACTTGTGTTCCCTCCCAGAGTCCGGCCTTTGTGAAGACAGTTGTCAATGAGTTGTTATTCCACTTTCTCCTGGGAAGCTCAATCTTGAATTAGTCTGTGTAAATCAACTCAAGTAATTCGCCAGACCTTTGTCCACTGAGGGTCATCTTTGAATGAGTAACAGTTAGTTTGTTTGTAATTATTGTCATTGCGTGAGTAGCGATCACTGGCAACTCAGGGGTATATATACTCAAGACCAGCCAGGGAGAACGCTCCTTGACGCTGCTTCCATGTTTCTCCAGGTATGTTTTGTGTAGCCATTCAGTTAATTCAGTCTATTGTAGTGAATATCAGTGTTCACCAGTGTTCATGATTTAACAGTTGAATTGTCATTCACCCAGTGTAGAAGTAATATAACGTAAATACGTCTGTCGTCTAGACAAGAGAGTTTGTTTGTGTTGTCATGTTCCTTGACGCTGCTTCCATGTTTCTCCAGATCCCATTGTGATTCTTGAATCGCTCTACCATTCAACAACGGCCTCGGATGTAGTAGATCACCAACAGGGATCATATACGAAACGATGGCACCGATGCGGCCTGATTAATGTGCCCCACGGCTTCGTTGGGCCAGACCCCAGACCCGCCATGTGTCTGGCTACCCCACAATAACAACAGTCGTGAGCCCCAGTGCTCTACCCTGGGTTACTCCTTGGAAATGTATGTCCACAGAGAGGGTTGTGACATGTATGTTAGGGATAATTAGATGGAAGTAATTATCCCATGTTGGGTAGTGGACCTCTGTATATGCTAGTGTCAGTATTAACGGATATGTTGAGTAAAATACTGTAATCTACAATGAGTGCCATGTAATGTAACACTAGTAATGTTGTGAGTAAGAGTAAAGAAGAAGGAACTGAGTTTGCACTAAGCCCAGGAGTTGAGCCTGGTAGTTATATTATTAATACAATGTCTTTCCCCAATGATTGCATATTAATAAACTTGTTTTTAGAGTACTTTAGGTGTATTCCTTTCTCCCACAGTATTTTACCTTTATTTCCATCCAAGTGACTTGATACCAGAATTACCATACCCATGTGCCTAGACCCTCGACCATGCTACCAAAAGAATGTCCATGCTACCAATAGAATAGGTGACGGAACTGAGTAAGAGTAAGACTAAGAGAAGTAAGTAAGATGAGGGTGGTGTAGACACAGAGAGGGAACCCGCACCCTCACAATAACACCACCCATCATCACTACAGATCGGTAAAGTAGGTTCCAAGATTCTTGTGAGGACACACAAACACACATACTTCTTTGTTTTATATATATATATATATATATATATATATATATATATATATATATATATATATATATATATATATATATATATATATATATATATATATATGTAACCGGTCGGAATTTACTGGACTTTATTTTCTCACTTGACTTGGGGTTTATTAAAGATTAATAGATGGTAATGGCAGTGGAAGCGCCCCTTTGAGAAAAATCCCGAACCAGCACAAGAACACTTAAATCTACTAAACAAAATGAATTGTCCGTGACCCGTGGAAGGATAGCGTCTGTGAGTGGGATGAATGAGACACTGTAAAATTTAGACACTTATATTCCCTCCAACACTACAAACACAATCAAATAATGGTACACCAATATGCCCAACTCTTAACTTGAACTTAAAACACTACTCTGGGGAATAAAAGTTATACATGATATAGAAATTATTAGAAACTCAGGCAACAATAAATTTGAAGTATTAAGAAATGTTGCTTGCACACATGAAACAGGCCTTAAGGGCTTTCACAGAATAATATCCACCACTGCGGAATTGGTATAAAAATAAGAAATTATTAATTCCACCATGAATAGGCCTAAAGGGCACTCAATATAATTATGTTGCACCAACAGATGCACAATTCCTAACCTAACTTAAACACTACTCTGGGGAACAAAGGTTATACCTGAGATCGGAATTATGAAGAAAAATTAGATGCATTAAAAGAATCAAATCACAGTATCACTCTGGTTCCACTTAGCGACACAAACATTCAAAAAACAATACTATCAAAATTATTTAAGAAATATTAAGCTACACACGTTAAGATAATATCAGTAACTGAGAAGTGGTATTAACTACACCCAAATATAGTCACTATTATTGATATGTTACTGGGTCCACCAATACTCGTGAGCCATGCTCCACCCAACTCAACATACACCCGTAATAAGGGAGGTAAAATGTTCCTCTAGGTATCCCCTAGACTCATGGTCTCAGTGTGCGACCCTGTATCACTCAGCTGGCCTCACTTTACCCCCAGTACATCCATGAAACGGAAGGGAGTGAGACAATCAGACCTTTTACAGTTGAGAGAAGCTTTAGCTTCCCGTTAGCAAGAGGGTTTCACTGAGCTGCTCGAGACATGTGGTGTTGTGAGCCGAGGTAGAGGAGAGCCGATGACCCCAATGATCGTCCCGTCGTCAGCTGGGCACCCAGACGGCTAGATTCCCTCAAGAGATCCTTTGATACCCCGCTAAACAGTGACAGGCCTACACTGATCGGTCCAATGGCGACAATCGCCACCCTCAATCATCAACGGCAGTCTCAAACGGCAGTCAATCTCTCGCGGTCATCACTCTCGCAGTCAAACTTCGGTCAAGTGGGTTCTGACGGAAACCCTGAAATGAACTCACTGTTAGCTCTTGTTAACTTTACCACTGCCCTATCTAACCCTGTCTGAGATCGAATGAGACTTACTTGTTATACTGCAATAGTGCAACACAGGTGACTAGGCCACGTGACTATTTCTGTGGACGGACGCGCAGGGATGTCCTGTAGGTCCAATCGCTTTCACGTGACTGAGGACCAGCCAGCGTCGCGTCTCTCCAAGGCGCTAGCTTAGGCCTACGTGACATATTTTCCGCCTAACTAATAACTCCTTGGGACACCCGTAACATTATTCAGACTGATAAACGATCTATAATAATTTCAAATTCAATAATAGTCCCTTAACTTCATGAATCGCATCATTATTAATTCGGCAAATTACATTTAATATCACTTAGGCCTAGTTCCACAACCTCTCGCTATGTGCAGGGAGCGCTCTCTTCCCTCCGACGACCTTGAACGCTCAGTATCGCCAATGGCGGGGCATTTGAAATTACTCTGAAATTTCTGAATATTACATATATATATATATATATATATATATATATATATATATATATATATATATATATATATATATATATATATATATACATATATATATATATATATATATATATATATATATATATATATATATATATATATATATATATATATATATATATATATATATATATATATATATATATATATATATGCAAGTAAATCACTGTGGTGGCCAGTGAGAGAAGTAACTAACATATCGGGTTATTGTATGTGTTTAATTAGTTCTAGCTACAACTGACATTCTCTGTACTATATAGAAAACGGTATAAGCTCCGACAGGATAAACCTCGCATGTAATAAAAACATTAGTTTATGACTCTATGGGATGATCTTCACTGTATCCTCTTCCCCAGTTATCATCTTATACATGCCAATCGGGCGGAAAACACATCATCTGCCGTGACCAGGATTCGAACTTGGTTATTGCGGCCACATGCGATCACGGCCACTGAAATTACATGATAACACTTATGAATTCCCAGATATAAATCATTATCTTGGACTCCTCAAGTTCAGACGTTAGATGCGGTAGTTTTATAAGTTATTAAGAGTTCAGGAAAATTTTCAGTTTAATCCTGCAATATGATTACAAATATTAATGGAATTCAGCATTTTTTTGGTTATATCGAAGTATTGTTTATTGGCAGGGTACAGGAAGATGGCGAAGTCGCAGTAATGTACCAGCCTCTCCACTAATATATAATATAGGGACAAGACTCACAGTCATCAAAGAGGATAGTATTAGAAGCAGACCCAATCAAGTGTTGGTACAGCTACGGAAATGTGTTCCTATCCCCCCCCTCCCCTGTGGTAACCCCTGTCACCAAATGGGACCGTCGCACTAGTAGTATCACTATTTATGAATGAATGGCTATTGGTACTGTAACGACAGACGTGATTGGTGTATAGTTTGCTACAGGTTATATAGGTTAGCATTCGTTATAATTAGGTCTTTGAACATACAAATGACTGTAAAAAATAAGTATAAATTTGTATTGTACTGCGCACATCATTATCATTCCTAAAAACCCCCTTTAATTCATATTCGGCTACATAGCATTCAAATCCACCGCGCTTGTAGAATCTCAGTGAACGGGAGTCATTGATAAAGACAACTCACAGAATGCATGTTACGGGTTTATTTGATGAATTGTACCCAGCTACGGGTTATATAATATTAATTGTATGTATTCGTAGCATTAAGGAGAGACGTGTTTTTCCCATTCGTTACACTCAGGATCCCTCCCAGTAAGTCCCGCCTTCGAAAACAGTTGTCAATATGCGTTTATTCTACTTCCTCCTAGCAAACTCAATCGTGAATTAGTTATGTAAATCAACTTTAGTAATTCGCCAGACCTTTGTCAACTGAGGGTCATCCTTGAATGAGTAACAGTTGAGTTGTTTATAATCCCTGTCATTGCGTGAATAGCGATCGCTGGCAACTTTGGGGTCTATATATATATATATATATATATATATATATATATATATATATATATATATATATATATATATATATATATATATATATATATACCATGAGTAAGGGAGACTGAGCGCACCCCCTGACGCCTGATCTCACCGTTTGCCTCCAGGTATGTTTATGTGTTCCCTAGCTATTCAGTTTGATTCAGTCAATTATAGTGAATATCAGTGTTCATCAGTGTTCATGCTTCAACAGTTGAATTGTCATTCACCCAGTGTAAGAAGTAATATAAAGTAAATCGCTGTCGTTTCCAGGCGAGAGATTTGTTGTGATTGTGTTGTTCATGCTTGTCCCCCCTGACGCCTGATCTCACCGTTTGCCTCCAGATCCAATTTGTGGTTCTCTGATCACCCCACGATAGCCCGGAGCCAGTAGATTCCCAGCAGGGAGTCAAATATCGACGATGTCGTTGATTCAACATGATCGAGACGGCAGGTCCACCTCGTGGGCCGAGGGCCCCAGACCCTCCTCGTGTCGGAGTGTAACAGACCACAACAGCAGTCATCAGTTGTTAGAGGCGCCAGTGCTATACCCTGGGACATGCCTTGGAGTTATGGTCCACAGTGTGGTTGTATGTGTTTGTTAATAATTACCCTATGTTGGGTGGTGGACCCATGTAGGTGTTTGTATCAGTATTAGCGTGTTGTTGTGAGTGCATCTCCTATGCACTACCAACAGTCTGTGAAGTATTGTAGGGTTATGCTATATTGGTTCGCACTCAGGATGGGATGGAGAAAGGAAACTCACAATGTGCTCACTGTATACATATTGTATTGGATGTACAATACAGCTTGTTGCTGGGTAGGTAGCATGGTAATAAGCGTTGAGTAGAGAGAGCTAGGTGGTGAGGGTGCCCAGAGTGAGGGCACGTGGCTTGAGGGACGCCAAGGTCGCTGGCGGGAGCGGCAGCCGCATGGCTGGCGCGGAGGAAGAGTGTTGCTTGCTGGTGGCACTGGGTAGAAAAGAGGGTGGTCACAGCGGTGTCAGGCCTTATAAGGCGGGGGTAGGTGTGGGTAGATAGTTGACTCCCGCTCCGTGGGCGGCGCTGGAGGCGTAGGCTGGGGAATTCGAGAAGGTTCGGTGCTTGTAGAGGAGGAATCTACTACAATACACCCCTTCCCCTCCGGGCGCGGTGGGAGGCTGGAGGTTGGCAGAGTTGCATGCCACATGTGAGGCAGAACGGCGGTGCATGCCACATGTGGGACATAACGACGAGGGCGTAGATGAGTCGGCCGCTAGGGGGGACAGCTCTGTCTAGATACACGAGATCTGTGGGAGAAAAGAGGGAGAAGGAGGGTTGTGGAGGCGATGAATGTTGTGCTTCCCTCGCGACAGGTACAGAGTCCTCAGATGCGCCTGCTGGGGTGTGTGGGCCTGGGTCAGGAGCAGGGGCTGCGTTAGGAAGAGTGTCCATGACAGCAGCAGGGTGCTTGACAGCAGCAGGGCTCACGACAGCAGCAGGGTGCAGGACAGTAGCAGGGGGTACCTGGGGGAGAAAAGAGGGGTGTGTGGGTCCGCACTCAGGCGCATGGGCCGCGTCGGGAGCAGGGGCTGCATCAGGAGGAGCGGCAGGGGGTACTGCTGGGCCGGGGGCGGCGTCTGAGGCAGGACGGGTGTTTAGGGGTCGGTAGGACGTGGTGCTTGGGGCAGGAAGAGGAGCGGCTGTCTGCTTAGAGTAGCAGAGCTGCTCTAGGGTGTCTAACCTGCGGTGTAGAGACAGTAGCTGTAGAGCCGATGAGAGCTGCCTCTGCGTGGGTAAGCCAGTCTTCCATGTTGCTTGAAGACTGGGAGAGTGATCAGTTTCTCCTCCATCCTGTGTGAGTGCGAATCTCCGGGGGGGGTCACCATTTGTAGGGTTATGCGATATTGGTTCGCACTCAGGATGGGATGGAGAAAGGAAACTCACAATGTGCTCACTGTATGCATATTGTATTGGATGTACAATGCAACTTGTTGCTGGGTAGGTAGCATGGTAATAAGCGTTGAGTAGAGAGAGCTAGGTGGTGAGGGTGCCCAGAGTGAGGGCACGCGGCTTGAAGGACGCCAAGGTCGCTGGCGGGAGCGGCAGCCGCATGGCTGGCGCGGAGGAGGAGGTGTTGCTTGCTGGTGGCACTGGGTAGAAACGAGGGTGGTCACAGCGGTGTCAGGCCTTATAAGGCGGGGGTAGGCGTGGGTAGATAGTTGACCCCCGCTCCGTGGGCGGCGCTGGAGGCGTAGGCTGGGGAATTCGAGAAGGTTTGGTGCTTGTAGGGGAGGAATCCACTACAGTATCATATGCCAGTTGGTCTTATAACTGGATGTAATGAGAAATACCTAGTAATGTGGGAGAAGTAAAGTAATCTGCAAGGAGTTGTCATATAACTGTGTTTTGTGAGTAGGGACAAGGAACTGGTCTTGCTATGTAATGTAATGTGACACCAGTAAGATTGTGCACGGTAAGAGTGTAATATCTGAGTACTTGTTGTTGAGTAAATAAGAAAAATAAGTAAATAAGAAATACGGAGTCTGCAATAAGCCCAGGAGTTGAGCCTGGTAGTTAAAAGGAGAGGCTGGACGAGTAAAGCCAGTGTCTGACGAAAAATCAAGCGAGTGGAAAATTGTGACTAGTGGGAAGACAAAGCTGGTGGTGAAGAAGCACACGAAGGATACGACAACAACGACTACAACAACTAAGTGTACCAACCCGTTCAGTCCCTTGATAGACGAATTGGACGTTAGTAGAGTCAGGAACAGGGATGACAAGGAAGGTATAAAAACTTTAATTGTTGGTGACTCACAGGTAAGGTACATGGACAGGGCCTTTTGTGGTAAAAACAAAAATTGGATGAGGGTGTGCTTGCCAGGAGCTGGGGTGGGGGATATAGTTGACAGGATGGACAATATCTTGTCTGGTAATGGGAACAAACCCATTATCTGCCTCAGTGCAGGAGGCAATGATATTAGCCGGTGTAGGAGCGAGGAACTTCTTGATAAGTTCAAGGCAGCCATAGATCGTATTAGGGCTAAGGGAGGGATCCCTATCATATGCGGTGTCCTGCCTAGAAGGAGAGTTGGCAGTGAATGGTTGTCAAGGGCAGTTGGTGTCAACGACCGTCTTGACAGATATTGCAAGTCAATATCAGTCCCATTCATTGACAACTGGGACAACTTCTATGGCAGAAGGGACCTTTATGCTAGGGATGAGGTGCACCTGTCTAGGGATGGAGTAGCAACCCTGGCTGGGGCTCTAGAGGGGGCAGTTCAAAAGATATCGAAGTCTTTAAACTGCTAAGGAGCCGGGTAAACAAGCAAGGAAAGATTACAGGGAAGGAGTGCTAGGAATGATGACAAACTACCTGTATGGTACCGTAAAACTAAACGCTGTAAGGGGAGAACTCAGAACACTACTTAACTTAAATGTATATTACTCACGTAAATACATGAGAAACAAATGGATGATATTAGGGCCTCGGTATGTACCGAAGAAATCGATATAATTGGCATTCACTGAAACATGGATCAACCTAGACACAAGTGAATTACCAGTCGAATACCAAATTGCGGGTTACAAACTGTTCCATACCGATAGGCAGACCAGGAAAGGAGGCGGAGTAGCAATCTATGTTAGGGATAATCTGAAGTGTGAAATAAATAAGGAAATAAAAACTGAGAGGAATACAGAAACAATTTGGATAGAATTAAGCGACGGTCGGGAAAAATTAATCACAGGGGTAATATATAGACCCCCCAATCTTGATAGCGTCAATGAGCGACTTATCTGGGATGAAATGCGCAGGGCTTCCATACACAACAAAGTCTGTATAGTAGGCGACTTTAACCTTAGCCAAATAGATTGGACTGTCCTTACGGGTAACTCAGACTCAGAGGATTTTCTCGAGACGATCCAGGACTGTTTCCTAAGTCAACATATAACCGAACCCACACGGGGTAATAATATACTGGATTTAGTTCTGACGAACAGA